GACTGTACTCGCTCGAACGAAGGTTAAGGAGGGGCGATCTCATCCAGGCTTTCAAGATAATTAAAGGAATAGATAATGTCGAGTGTGGTAGGTTTTTCCAGTTTGATGACAGCAAGAGAACGAGAGGTAACCGACTTAAGTTGCGCAAACCGCAGGTGCGGCTCAGGTCGAGACAGGAATTCTTTACTTGCATTTACCCCTAATTTCCCGCTTCAACGTCCGCGTGATCCTCCTATATTCCTCATAGTCCGTGCTATCTCCCGTCCGCTTGTACGCATCCCACGCATGGTGAACGCGTGGAATGCGTTAGATGACGAAGTAGTGGTTGCCCCTTCTGTGACTATCTTTAAGAAGAAACTAGATGCTTTCATGGACAGGCAAAAAGGTGGGGGGCAATGTTGACGTTAGGTACTAGACAGTAAGCAACTAGGATAGTCAAATAACAAAAAAAAATACAAAAATATATAGCTTTAAGAGGGTTAGGCCTACCCTAAAATTAAGGAACGCGCGACCTCGACACGTGATATCGAAATGGGCGAAATCGCCTCTTGATATCACTAACTATCTTGAACCTTGAATCTTGAAACAGTGGAAAGGGGAAAGCACAGTCGACTATTGAAAGCGAATAGCCTATGCCCACCTAGAATCTGTCCTAGGCCATGGACTAACCCAGGCCTATGACTCTGAGGCTAGCCCCAATCCCAGAGTGGAAGCAGGTTAGGCCCTTTCCTCATATTAGCCTTAGGCCCCTCATAACCCTAATCCGACCCTACTTAAGCTGTGCTTTCTTTCAATCAACAACCTTTCAGCTATACTCTTTCATTTTCTTCTAGCTTATATATGCTGTAGTGGGATTTCCGAAAAAGATCTTTCTACGCTGAAGGTTTGAGCAGGACCGTGCCTCTGATGAGGATCCTGCTATTCTTTCAGATCCCACAGGCTCCTTAAATTTTTTTCTTCTCTTTTTAAATTCCATTGTCTTACTTTTTGGAGTCGGTCGTTTTGGCTAGCAAGCTCAGGGATCACATTGCTTTTCTCCTACATTTAGTTGTGTTGTTTGCTGTTGTCGAGCTCCTCGCGCGCTACTTCACAACTTAGAGCAATGTTGGGTAGTTTAGTGGTGTGGCGCTCTTTTGACGCCATTTTTGCATATACAGAGATATATATTTGCATATACCAGTCTTGGTCGAGCGTTCGTAGCGTGAAGACGTGTTGGAGGATACTCTCGAGGTTCTGTCAGCTAAGTCGTGAGTTAGTT